ATTTCCGGAATAATAATTTTAAGACGATTACTTTAAAGTTAGAAAACTATGTTCAAAAAAAAAAATTACTTTTTTCAAAATATGACTCTCCAACAGACTTACAGAAGAGCGGCATATCATCAGTTGATTGCAAGGTTTAAAAATGAGAGGTCTTTGGGTCGGGTAAGGAAAACACAAAATATTAAAATTAGGCAGTTTATTGCCTGCTTCCCTTCTATCCACTTATAACATAATCAAATTACAACAAGATTTGTGCAAATAAAACAGTAGGTACATGTACAGCACAGGAATTTATTCTAACGAATATACTTAAAGATAAACTCTTCATACAGAGAAAAATAATCATATTAAGACTATAATATAATCTCAACTGACTAATTACATATTTATAAACGGGACCTTTTTTATTATATATGATTTTTTCAAGTGTTATGTGCCTGTTCTTCGGTTGTTATGTAGGACCAAAAAAATCGCAACAAAGATTGTCGTGTTTTTCCTCTGTCTTCAGTCTCCGCTATGTATATATATGGTTATAGAGTATACTATGTTTAATTGTCAATAAATGCATAGATCTTCAGTCTCCGATTTTAATGGTTTTTTTTTTGTGTCATGAAGATCATTCATGTGTATCACTGAACTCCTAAACCGCTAGACCGATTTTTGTGTGTAGAGGTCACGGGATGATTCGGATCGACACCTGTTGCTGCAATTGGGTTTTAAGAATTATATCATTTTTGGTAAAATCTTTTTTTTTGTGTTTGAGTTTGGATACATGATTTGTAGAAATTATATTTTTTCACTTCTGACCAAGTTTTTACTGTTTAACAATTATGGTACTAACAAGATAATCGTACGTTCGGAAAGAATAATATGTGTCCGGTCCACTGGTATTTAATTAGTATTTTCACGTATCGTATCTAATTAATATTTCCTTTTTATAGGCAGTATTAAAATTTACATGCGTGGTCCTAAAAGTACATCATCAAGAAAAAAAATTAATCTATGTAATTTATTGCATGAGTCCATGTTATGTTATTCTCTTGCCGTTAGATATCTGTTATTAAGTTGGATTAATGGCTTAGGTACCTATTATATACGTTGATAGGCTTCTTGCCTAATGAGCTATTCATTAGACCTTTGTTATTTTTATTAATAGACATTCAATACTCTTTTTATATTAATACTTCTAAAGTTTTGGATGTCATAATTTATGTATGGGAATTAACGCGATAACTTAATAGGGACACGTCGGTTTACATACGGAATTAAGACACTGATAGTTTAGTATGTGATGGTATATTCCGAAAATAAAGTGCCAAAAATATTGTAATTCGCATGCCTCAAAACACTTTCCTAATGTTCTTCGCTTCACATCACACATTGGAAAGGCGAGGAGCGAAATCAAGCGAGAATCTCAAGACCAATCGAGATGGAGGCTTATCTACTGTGAACGCTCTCTGCCCCATGTAGAGGGCAAAGGGCACCGCTTAGCCAGGTGAGTCTATGACCATGGTCTCTCTTAATGCAAGCTGGTCTAAACGTTGCAAGTAATTAATACACATATGACATAAATATCTAATAATACTTCCAAATATTCACATTACAATTAATTCTTACTTATAATGAAAACAATAACTATAAAATAAAACTATAATGAACACAACAAATAATTAAAATTAAAATTTTCTCCTATATACTTTTTTTTCTTGTAATGGCAAGTAGAGGACAGTGGTAAAGACCTTGGTAAGTCAACCAAAAAAATATAGTATGCTGCTAATCAACTAGCTCAGTTTATAGTAATACTATGTTTAATTGACAATAAATGCATAGAAAATAGGAATTAAAGTATGTATCTATATTTTATAAACAAAATAAGGCACTGAATAATTAAATTGAACTGATAAAATATCCGTACCGTTATAATAAAATTATCTCTGTAGCCTACGTCATTAGTGAAATTACAAGTACATGACATTTTATTTGATGTCCTGTTAACTTTATCAAGATCCCAATGAAAGCGCTTTGACAAAGAACGAGTTTTTTAAAACTAAACTCCTTATTTGTAATAACTTTTCCATTAGATTCATTCCCACTGTATTCAAATGATACAATATTGTAGAAGTTGCAACTGCCAATATAGAAATAAGCTATCTAATTTGTGTGTTCGAAATGTGTTTAGGGATAGACAATTTGCTCTTAGTACATGTCTTTATTGTTTATAAAAATATAAAACTTTATCATCAAGGGAATGTAAATCCACATTTTTTTTTATATGACATTTAATAGTAGTAAAAATATGGTCGAAAATTACATCAATTATCGGGTGCAAACAACATCCGAAAACAATATTCGGCTCAGTTGTTATAATCATAGAAGTTAAATACATCCTACAGTATACTTAGATTATTTAAAAAAAATTATAGTAATAGAAGAATATTGTGATAAAATGTCTTTAATCCTAACAGGTTTCATGATATGATACACATTTTTAATACAGTTTGTGCGTTAAAGCTCGTTGAATCGTTAGGCTTGATCATACTTAAATAATCATGTGATAGAAAGCGACTACCGGCACCCATAGACACCTGCGCCTCAAAAGTCGCAAGGTCGTTAACCCGTGCCCCTCTCAAGAATTAGAAGGCGCTGTTGAGTTGGTTTTCGACTACCTCACCCTCCCACTGAGAAGCAATGAAAAGACTTTCTGTTAGGCCGTGGTGGCCACTTCTGTCTGTTTCTCGTCCAATGTTACCCTCAAACCATGTGCAAACTATTTAGTATAGTCTACAGCATAATATACAGTGCATGCCAAAAATTAGTTTAAATCTATTTAAAATTTCCAAACGATGTAGCAAAATTTTCAAAACTCCGAGGTTACTTATGTGGTGTTGTATAATTACTTATGTTTAGGGCATATAACTTAGGTAAAGCGTCGAAAAGGTATTTTCTCGAACAAGATTTAAGTTTAAAATAAGTAAGTTTTAAAATAAATGTTTGTTTTCTGAACTACGACACTCTGAATGTACTCCTGTAACAAATACTGCACTAATGTAAAACTAATCGTAAGATTGTGGTACGAGAGATGAGAGTTAGATTTATAAAATTGTTATTAGATATTAGATTCTTGACTCACCGATCAAGGTTCGAAATTTAAACGATTATGTCGGACTTTGACATAGCCATGGGCAATCAGTTTAGTCTATGCCCAGAAAATTGGGTAACTAGAGTATCCTGCAATCACCTTTAAATTTGTCGATCTCACCCAATAAAGTACTAAAGTAATTAGACCGCAGGATACTGGTTTCTCGAATACATGGCCACGGTTCTTTTAATGATGAAAGTATACAAAGTCTATTAGGCTTTGATTTGTTTGTTTTTATTACAATTTGATCACGTCTATGGTGATTTAAACTAACTTTTGTAAGCCACTGTTTATTTAATCTTTTGTAAAACCATAATGCTACATATCTTTCTCTTACATTATAGTTTTCAATAATAACAACATAAATCACGCGCAAGTGTACATGTTTATAAGTATTTGACACTATCTTAAGAATGAAACAACTCGTAGGAAATCGAGTCGATGCACCTTAATAACTATAAAACACATTCTTACAAAAGCCATCCTTACAAAAAAATCTTACATATAAAGCAAAACTTACTTAAAGAGGATATTACAAGTTATGGCAACATTAGGGACGGCACACAAACAATACTGCACTCTACACAATACTATAGGATTGAAGAAATATATATATATATAATATATATAAGAAATGTACACTCAAAGCTGGCTTCAGCCTATTCACAATAAGAAATAACTGCAATACTTCTGCCAACAAATGCACACTGCTATTGTTTTTCGGGGATTACTTTGATATGTTTTCTCTAGCCAGATTTCCCTGCCGCCAAACCCCTTGCTACTTGTCGAAAAAATAATAAATACCTATAATACCTATAATATTTGGGTAAATAAAACATCACACACACTAGGTATTTCCCAAGCGCGAAAATTCATTCAGTGAAAAGGGGGACACAAACATACAGACCATAGCATCAGGTTTAAAATATTAATACTCTTGAGAAATTAAAAGTACTTTACAATGTTTTATGTCTCAAATTGTAAAATTCTAAAACTTTAAAATTGACGAATCTTTAATAAACACCGCAATAAAGGCACACTGCAGGTACATTGATCACAGATATTATAAGATGCCTTCTAGACTCATAAAAGGCAAAGCCTTTAGGTCAATTTTGGCCTTAGTATAAAATGTACTCAAAATTTAGTTTCAAAGCACGGTATCTAAAAGGCAAGAATGTTAAATGTTATCATAAAAATGATCAACAGTTTATAGTCGTCGTATTTATCTTTACAATATTTAAGCCATTTGTGTTTAAGATGAGCTGATTTTAGATAAATCAACCCTTACAGACTTTATAATAGCAAAAAGACGGCATAAATATTTAATTAACAAGAGTACAATACGTTAAAATACATTTAAAAATTGGGGACAAGTACATTAATTTAATGTATTTTCAGCAGTGGATCCGTTCCGCTTATTAACTAGACTTTAATCAAGAAATAGAATTTGTAAATAATATATTGTTACAAAAATATGTACGGTCTGTATAACCACACAGTTTTATTATGCTAAGTTCATATCTAGATGTAAAACCGATTTCTTTCGAACACTTACAAAGCCAAGCCGAAGCTTACAGATACGTAAACACACAAAACCATCCACATCAGGTACCCTAGTTATGTCTCAAGAACAGTAGATACTTGGGGTTGCCATATCGTCCAATTAATATTTTTATTCTATGGCAGTACTACCACAGGATAAAAGCAAAAGCGATTTTATTTAACCGATTAAAGTAAGTTAACTTTTTGGAATCACCTATTGAAGGAACATTATTATAAAAAATTGAGATAATCTTTAGCGATTGGCAATGAGTATCCAGTACACTCGAACTTCAAGAAGAGAATAAAGTGAGCCTAATTATTAGGGCTTTCGTTCCATAAATCGTTCAGTCCAAAAGATGTTAGCTAGAATACCGCCGATCATGAGACAGCAGTAGATCAGCACCGCCGCCCACCAAAGCCGTTTCTCCCATTTTCTCTTCTCTAAATTTCTTAAAACACCAATTCCTACTAGTAAGCCTGAAAAAAAAGTCTAATTAGTAGTTTTAAACGTAAAATAATTGTTTAATAGAAGAAGAAAGAAATATTGATGAGCCTTTTCAAGTTTAAAATTGTGAAGTACCGGAGCTCTAAACCTTATTGTAATTACGTTTGGCTGGGACCCCACGATACAGACTTGCGTAGTCTGGGGACCATGTTAAATATTTATATGATAAGATCTGCAACACTAATTTTATGTCTTGTTAAGCCATTTCTTTTTTTTTTTCTTTTCTTTGTGTCTCTAAACAAATATTTTTCATTTCACTTATTAAGAAGATATGTAGTGTATTTGTGTAGTCATTTAAGTATTACTGAGTATAACCCACGTTACTAGTTTTAGCATTACTGTTAATTTTTGTTAACCCAAGAAACTACTGGCGTGTGAAGGTATACACAAACTTAGGTAGTATTTATTTTAGTCGGTAGTAAAAATCGATGTTTAGAAAATTTTCATATCTTAAATTTTAAACTAAGAGGCAAGTTTTTGAATTACATCTTTATGTATTAAATAGGTATACCTGACCGCATTAACATTCGAGCACTATCAGAGATTTTTCTTTTATTTTTCCCCTGAAATAATATGAATAAAATTCAAATGCAAGCCTTACCGGCAATAGCACCAGCCAAATGTGCAACATATCCAATGTTCTGTGTAGTATGTTGCCAGTAGCGGTCATACACCGCCGTTCCGATGTCCACGGCAGCGAGTAGCAAGAAGACCAATAGCTGAATTATCGCGAATTCCATTTCAGACCAGTTCTGGAATCAATATGTGTTAGTTTAAATATAATGCTCAGGGGAATTGTATAAGTTTTTTATTTTCAATAAAGACAGATGTATGTCATCAAGATTGGCCACAAAAGACATGAATGGTTTGCTATTCTCTGTACCCGGCGGCAATCGTCTATTAAGGTGGTACCCAAGGCAAGTTTTGGCCTTAGATGGATAGCCTCTTGGACACTTTCGTCGCGAAACCATAGTAGAATACATCCCATCAAATGAATTCCGCTGTGAAGTGAACCGCAACAAAATAGAACATCAACGGTGGATATGTGACTAGCGTCTGAGCAAAATAATTGGAATCACGCAGGAAGGTTAAAATCGTAATAAAATCTATAGGGTACATCAGGTATTTTACTTAGTGTAAAATGGCCAAGTTACGGCCATGAAACTATAGTTAAACCGCCGTAAGCTTGGCCCTCCTGATGGTTTGCGGGACGCGGGGCGGGTGATGCGCTCGGCTATACATGACACGATGTACTAACTCGATACCTTCAGATTTATTTGTTTGAAATTTAATCTACACACGATGTAATAAAAATCGAATTTATTTCCATATATTATAAAGTCAGTGTATTGTAAGTTTTTATGATTAATTGTAAAATTTAATACTGTAAAATAATTTTAATAAAATCACCTTATTTTCATCATGTAAATTATATTCAGATACAATTTCAAAATTAAGTAAAATAATAAATATTTTTTGTTAGAACTTTAACAGTAGAACCTCTGTAAGCCGAACTTCAAGTTTTTTAATCTTTTTGTGACGCAGAGTCGGCAGATTATCCATGTTGCAAAATAATACCATGTGTAACAGTCTTAAGAAAAATAACACGTACAGCCATGCTTTCACGTCAGTCACTGCCGGCGGACAGTGACGCACTAGCTAATTGGTTGAATGCACCCCCGCCCCGCATCCCCCAAACCATCAGGAGGGCCAAGCTTACGGCGGTTTAACTATAATATGCTCTCGCAACTATAGTGTTTGCATGATTAGACGAGTTTTCCTCCCTATCACTGCACCGTACAATACTTTCTCACTAAAAGCCATTGTGTTCATATTAGTAATACCGAGGATCATCAACAAATTCTAAGAAGATTCTAGTGTAACTTAAAATATTAAGTCAGTTAAACTACTCACCATAATAATAGTGGCGATGTGAGCGGCGATTAAAGCATAAACTCCTCCAGAAGCCCCCGCTAAGTAGACTTTGGGGTCAGTAAGACTTGTCGCGAGAGAACCAGCTGCCACTCCAGCTAAGTAAACTAGTACAACGCGCCACCATCGATGCACCATCTCCAGTGGAACTCCCAGGAAAAGTTGAACTAGCAGATTCACTACTAAATGTACCACTCTGAAATGGAAATAAATTAAACTGTTTTAATGTTCTTTGTCGATATTCCTTTAATTTCTACTTCTATTCATAAAAAATCGACCTCTACATGTAATTAGCTTTAAGTCGGTTATCGCAGTAAATAGTAGTCTATAGCCCACAGGGATAATATACCTTTCTAACAGTGAAAGAATTTTCAAAATTGGATCAATAGTACCGGAGATTATCCCGAACATTCAAACTCACAAACTTTACCCCTTTACAATATTAGTATAGATATGATTTTTTTACAACTAAGTAGGCCTATTACACATATTTATGTGTAATAAATATTATTTAAAATCTCTGCTTCTAAACTCTTAAACAGATATGGGTCACCTAATATTGTTATGTATAAGAGGAGCATTATTTCTTCCCTTTATGACCTCATCTACAGGATTTAATCGCGTCGTAAAAGGGGTACCTATGTAGAAACGTGCGTTTTCCAAGTATATTTTTTTAATGTTACGAGCAATTCTTATTTTATAAATTTTGCTAAACTGCGAGACTTACCCCACATGAACCAGCATATACGTAAGAAACCGCCAAGCCTCGTGTCTCTTGTGAGGATTGTAGATAAATAATTTTGCTATTGTTCCATTGGCATCTGTGTGCCCTTTAGCAGCATCGTAACAAAACAGGATGATCTCCACCAACGAGATGATAATCATACAGATAGCAGGAGGCCAGCAACTGTATTCTTCTTCGTAGGTACCGTCTGTGTAGGTGAAGATACTTTTGCTATGGTCTAGGTACGTAACAAACAATAGGCGAAAGGGGTAAGAGGGATACAGTAGGATAAGGTTCAGGTGTATTGAAGAGATTTTGAAATTGGAATCATCGGTGCCATTACATTTAGATAAAGGTTTTTTTAAAATTATGTAGCAGTTAAAAGATTGAGTTATTTTTGTGTACACGTAAATAGAATTGAACAATGATGTCGTAACAATGCAAAAGAAATAGAACACGCAACAGACGAATGTCAGCCGTTTCATATTGCGACAGCAGTTGCGATGTGTAGTAACCAATTAAGGATACGAGTTTTGGTAAGGACAAAATAGATTTAATTGAACATCCAATAGGTTTGTTTGGATAATATAGTCAATCAAAATATTGTAAAAAGAAACCGATATTTTTATAGGAGTAAGCAGGATAGACAAACAAAAACAAAGGAGAAAAAAAAAGAAAAGTACTTTGTTAGTTCATTTTTAGTTATTCTAATGTCAGTGACTAAGTGCAGAAAACTTATACCAAGCAAGCATGTAAATTATTGTTAGTGTAGTGGATTGCTAATATTAAAATTATCTTTGATTTAAAGGTTTGATATTAGATATTTTATATAAATTTACTACTGTGACAATTACCAAAAATTGATAAAAAATTCATTATTTTTAACATAAAAAAGATAATTTTAATAGTTGTATAACTTTTCCATTTCAGATAGATCTCGTAATCACAAGGAAATATTTATGCCGCATTATAACTGCATCACCTTCCTTTTCATTGATCTTGACATTAACTAGCAAGATAAACAGCTCCTTGTGTTTAGGAGGTCATATTTATGCAATAAGCGAATTCTATGAGCCCTTCACCTTGACTTTACAGATGTAATAGTGATCATGCATAAATGCAAAAGCCAACATTATACTGTTATTAGGTACAAGGGCACTGCACATATGCAAAGTTCTTGTAGTATGCTGGTGTTATTCATGAGCGTTAGTGCAGAATATTACCATGTCAAAAAACTGATTATGATCTTATGATTTTTAATAATATGGACGATTATATGTAAAAAACTGATGAACGTCACATAATCTATAAATTTTAATTAGAAACCATATTTTATGGTCTACTTAGATGTATATGACATAATATATATAAATGCACGTAATTATTTTTTAATTTTATTAATCTGTTAACATACCACAACAGTCGGTGATCTTTTGAATATACCTCATAGTCCTATTTCTAGAGTTATTGGACACAGTCGAATCCTTCGATTTTTCACTTAAAACGCTGTAGTCATAATTATTCTCGCGTTTACACATTTTAAAGCACCACATTATACACTGCTAACACTTTCAGTTATAAATGTATTACTTAGTTAAACAGTTACTGCCATTAAAAGCATTTCACGAAATAATTAAGCAAGATTAACTTAAGTTAAAAAAATACATATTAAAATATAAGTCTGTCTACATTTTTTACTTCTCAAATGCCCCCCTTTTAACGATTACAGGAGAACTAAGGAGATTTTTTAATAAATAAAATTGTAGGAGACGCGAAATTGATTAACGTGCACCTGGGTCAGCCGTACGTCACTTACTAGGGAAAATCCTTAGAGCCACTTGCGGCTTTGGTCCACGTTCTGCATGGATGATTCGTGACGTCACGTTTGAATGGGCCAACTATAGTGGTGACAAGTGGACAATTTAAGTTGTTTGTTTGCGTCCAGACTTTTTGATAATGATCGTTCGTACACTGGATGAGTGCAGATTGCTAATTTACTGTTGTTGGTTTGAGGGAGTGTCTTTGATGACTTTTTTTTTTGGTAACACTCGGATGTTTTTTTATGTATATACAGCGAAGTTCGCCACTGTTACTGTTGGACACTAGTAATGCCGGTAGTGTGTTTTAACCCCTGTCTACTCTAACGATTCTACTCAGCAGTAGAAGTTACCACTACCATGGTAGTGCTATTATCTCTTTTGGCTTTTGTCAGGTACTTGGGCATCACCTAAGAATAAATCCACGACTACCCTCTAAATGCATTAATTTAATGATATTTTATATGTACCTTTATATTGGCTTACGATAGAAATATCTTAATTCCTACTGTTTATTAAGTAGAGGGTAAACCCCCTACTCAATAAACACACAACATTGTTGTTGCATAACTGAACGTGATGCAGTTATAAAAACAATTACATCAAAACAATGGTAACGACCACTTACAATATTATCCGACGAACAAAATGAACACATATAGATAGGTACCTACCTAGATGCACACGAGAACAAGCACCTACTTGTTAATATTATTAACCTCCAGATAACAAATTATTGAGATAGGTACTGTTATAGTTGTCTCTAATTCACCACTTAGTAATAACGACCACGCGCGTGGCTCTATAAACCAGAAGCGAGCAAGCCAAGACTCTACAGTGTGGCCGTATACTTACAAAGAGAGAGAGATCTAAGTTCCGCGAGTTCTCGGCGATTTGTCTTGAGAGTGTACCCTACTCGTACTACACTTGTAACGGATCATCGTATCATTTTTTTCGATTCGATCCCTACATGCCAGGATGCATGCCATGCATGCTTCACCGTTGACTTGAAATAAAACAATATGTACCTTAACAGATACTATGTATGCATGGTGCAATATTAATACAATAACGCCTGCAGGAAAATTCTGATCTCATGAAATGACACATTAAAACGTAAGTGAGTATCTTATTACGAAGTTTAGACAGTCTACGTTTAATAATTTTAAGTTGTTTTAAATAACACATATTTGTATAACCCAAGAACGTTAATACAGTTGATAAGCTGTGAATAATTTGGAATTGAGTCATCGTATTATAAAAGGGTTATTATAAATATTATTGTTATTATAAAGGCCGAATTATTGCTAACTATAGTCGTAGTGTGTAATGAAAATGTTTTTGTACTAGGACATTATAAATTCAGTATGATTCTAATAATATTTTCTAAAACTGATGCCTTAGCAAGGCATCCAAACCCTATCATTAATATTTATCTAATTTCTTAACTCTTAGTGTCTTCTTTCAGACATCTTACAGCAATTCCAATATTGAATATATTTACAATATAACAAGACAAGATGTTAGTACATAGATATTTTTATAAAAGTGGATATGACAGATAGCTTGTGAGACTATTGTCTGCAACTCGGAGTTCAGAATACATAGCAAGTGCATATCACCTTACTCAATCCCCTCTTAATTATCTACTCAACCCCGTTATTTGCACATTTTTAGGAACGTGAATAATTATTTAAAGTAATAGTAATATATATCTTTTACTCTACTAAGTATATTTATCAGCAGTCTAGTTACCATAGTACAGGCTCTGCCTAGTTTGGGATCAGATTGCTGTGTGTGAGGTGTGATATTTAAAATAAAAAGTTTATATGGGGAAGTGCAGAAAGCTTTAAATACGAGTATGTGCTATAAAAAGTACAGTTCAAGTACTGGTCTGTGAAATAGAACAAGACATTCAAAATAGTCGAGTAATGAGTAATGCTTTCAGTGATACCTTTATAATTCAAAAGTATTTTAACATTAATCACGTGTAAGTGTTTGGTATAGATAAGTTAGCAACTATTACTCGTATAACGATTACAGATAGGTTTCTTTGAGTCAATATTTTTACTTGCCGATAATTAGCTCAAATTTTAGTGCCCTCAAAAGATAGCTACAGTTTACATGGTTATAAACCATTTCCATTTATCATTCATTAGCAGCAGTCAGCGACAAAACTTGAGAAACAGGTATAATAGCTACAGGAAATTGCAAAATTATATAATAATACGTACTACATCTGCTGTAAAAACCCTGTGCCACAAAAAAATAACAATGTTATAATTGTAGTTTACTGTAAAAGATTTTACAAAAGAAAATAATAACCTAATTCATTATGTCTTAAATGATAGCATAAGTACAAATTATTATAAGCGGTGGGGGATGTTTGAGTGTGCGAGGCGAGGTGATTGCAGGTGACTAGGGGCTGTTCTCGCCCTTTACCTCAGGCCCTGACTGTAACTCGTGCTGAAACCACATGGTGCCGATCTTCCCAGAGTAGGAGCCCGCGGGTTTTTTATGGAAACGAAACACCACTACTTTTGGCTACGGCATCAGCACAATAGTGTTTCCCGGGAGGAATCCGTTTTTGAAATCGATTAATAAACTCTACTTAGTATCTTTAGACTTGGGTTATTTGTTCATAAGATACACTTAAATCCGCTGCTCAGCGAAGTGTTTATTTTCTAACTGCGGCGACAAAACAAAACACACTGTATCGGTCTGTATTTCAATATACCAAAGAAAGTGCAATTAATGTTCTAGAAGCATCAAACAGTCGTAAATATTGTCTACTGTCATGTTGTACTTACAGACAGAACTCGGTATACGTGGGATTAAATTTTATCATTATAAAGTTTTTGCCCATAATTTTATTCGTTTTAAAGTGACACTCACATAGCCGAGTTGACCATAAGCGTCACAGCCTTTCTCAAGTCGAGCTATTTAGAAATAAAAAAACACTTTGACTTCCGTAGCGTCCAACTAAACTCTACTTTGATATTATATTAATCTTAGTATTTGGTTACGAAAGGGTTCTATCTGATCTTTAGAACCATTGCCGAGATGTAGAATAGAAAGAATTTAAACTTTTTACATACAGTCAAATACATTAATAAAACCTATTAAACACAGATTAGGTGAATTTATAGTAGGTTAGGTGTGGTTATTAATGACATAAATGAGTCATTAATATGCCAGTAAATACATTTTCTGCCAAATCATTTAACATTTTTATTTTGCTAAATTCTTGTCTTTGAAAACAAAAAAGAATCTAATTATGTCACGCGGAAATAAAAGGATCTCGTTATTATTAAATAATTCAGTGAGAATAGCAAAAGAAAACAATATCCATTATTATAAAATCTTTAATGTGCATACGTAATACTGATCTGTGACATAGAAACTGAAAGTGAAGTAATAAAGTGAATATCCTCCTGCCGTGGAATTTAGCACTCGGCAGAAGAACAATGAAACGTCCCACTTCGTATAAAATTAATGCAATTACCGGTATTGGCATTACTTCCTAAAAGTAGGTTGGACTTTAAAAACAACAAAAAGTCATATTTTTGAAAACAAAACTTTTAGCTTTTTATTCTTCAGAAGATTACTATGTAACGGTTGCATAAATAACAGACTCGATCCACTTAACAAGCCGTAAAGCGTGTGAAAAAGAAAAATATGTTTAAACTGGGTTACTCTTTATTTTGTTTTCTTATGTACTCAGGTGATTTTTATGTTATTGTTTATAATTACAGTTAAGTTGTGTCGTACAGGCAAATTCTATTTTGACTACTTATTACAGATTTCTTTTATTTACACATGTGTGTTTGGGTCACAGGAATTGATATGCAAATATCAACTTAATGTGTCCTCTAGGTTTAAAAAATATAGTGTACAATTAAGTGACTGATACACACAATTGATGAGGTTCGTTTTTTGTTAAGACGCACGGAATCCTAAAAACTAGCAAAGTTTTTGTTTTTCATGTTTGATTATTATTATTTATGCAGGTGTTTTTTTTTTAATTATTACTAATCTAGATTATGCTAAACTGCATGAATCAATACCTAAACTCAGCCCACATCTGATGGTTGCATTTTTACTATCGCATTAATGTACAAAACATACCTTCCTACCTTCCCAATATCTGACTTGAGAGACCTTGCATTGGGTTCAACAAAAACAGTTTCAAATAACAAAGCGTCTTAATTGGCAAATTTACTTACATATATAGTATAATAGAAAAACATATATAAGATATAGTAGAAAAAAAATGAATTGCGATTATTTTGATTGTATGAGTATAAAACACAATTCAAATTATCGCTTACCTAATACTATTACGAGCTGCGTCATTTTAGTTATAGTATGTGCCAGGGGCATAACAATATAATTATGTAGGTATTTAAAAAAAATCATTCATTCGTCATTCGTCACATAATCGTTTTTATTGAATGCCTAACAGATAATTGTTAAAAGTGGATTTTATTATGCCCTACCTTTAAAAACTATTGTTATGTTTATATCTTACACCCCCTAACATGTTTAAACGATATTTTTATAGTTAAAGATTAGATATATTAGAATTCCTACTTCAATACCAAGAAACAAAAAAGATAATGACATAATATGACATGTCACATAATAATGATTGGATTACCTTATCACAATGTGTTTAGTATATACTCCAGTTGCGAAGAGTAAACAACAACTAGGCCTAGGCTATTTTTTCTCGGTTCAAGGTTCGGCTCTATAATGTCCTACCGGTAGAAATTAGATATATCATTACTTTTTTTTTAAAAGGACCAAGTCCGAACCCGTGCTTCACCCAAGTTCTCCACCTGGGTGAAGCACGGGGACTATGTAGGGTCCCGTGCGTCAACTGATAACGTTATTGTACAGTGATTTAGGATTTTTTTCCTATATCATTTAAAAGATCTAAACAATTGTTTAATAGGAGCGAATTTTTTTTTTTTTTTATTACTTTTTATTAACATTTTTGGTTTATTTTTATAACGAGAGGCACCTTACAAATAACGTAGCGGAGAGTTGGAATTTCAAACAAAAAATAAATTGAGTAAGTTGAGGAAGTAAATTGCTCAGGGTGATATCGAAAAATACCGATTCTTTGCCGACTGCCGAACTAAATGCCGCAAAGAACACTGTGAAAAGGACCATTTTATTTTAGATTCGCAAATGCAAATAAATAATGAATAGTGAAAATTCCTTTAAATAAATCCTAATGATTAATTATATGTTAACTTATGTATGTATCTTCATTTCTTGACCACGGGACCATATATAGTCCCCGTGCTTCACCCAGGTAGAGAATCTAGGTGAAGCACGGCTCAGCCCTTTAAGGACCACACTACACCAAATTATATATTTACTGTGTACATTTTTTTATGTATAACATCGTTCCTCTCGTATTTCTGCAGTGTGTGGGAAAAGGGACGGAAGTGTGTAACAGCTGAAGCTGAACACGCACATCATTAATTATCAACAGCCAGCCAACCTTTAGTAGTCCACTGCTGGACACTGGCTTCTCCTTAGAAAGGAGGTTTTGGCCTACTAAACACGCACGGTGCGTTGAAAATTTTTATTTAGAAAATATATTGTTCACCGTCCAAGCTTTTAATAACTTACACCGCTACACTTAACGTTTAATAACAGACCGAAGTATTCCAGAAAAGCACGCGCGGTTTTCCAATACATCAATATTTACAAAGTTCTTTGCATGTTTCAATGAACTTTGAGTAAAAACGAAAATGCGGAACGTGACCAGAAACTTAATCTAATGTTTAATGGAATCGTTTATAAAACGTCTAAAACGAATTTAAACAGTTTTGTTTTTGGGCGAAGCTAAATTTTGCGCACAAAATTAATTAAGTGCTATTTCTACTAGCTTCCATCCCTTCTCCATTTAATGGGTAGTTTTAGTGGATTGAAGTTACATACAGTGTCTGTTGTACGTTGACAAAATCATTATGACGTTTTATAAACTTTTAGATGAATAGATATTTGTATAATCGATAGCAGGGAACTAAAAAGACGTTAGCTCATATAATTTTGTATGTTTTACGCCCTTTCAGCTCACTAGAAATCGATATGCGCTACTCAATGGGCGCTAATCGAACTATTTAATCAACTGTTCCTAAAATGTATCTATGATAAGAATTCACAAGGTTGAGGTATCACAATAAATATTTACAACGATTACAAACTACCTATATAAAGAACGAATAAATGTATACATATCAGTCAGCGATAACTGATATAGCAAGATAATGCAATTCGCATACATGTCGGTATTAACTGTTACTAATACTGATAAGTTGTGGCTTCGACAGTTCAGATATTTTTTTAAACTATTACTTCCTAGAGAAACGCTGTACGTTTATAGTTAGCAGATTCTATAACTGATTTTGGGACGCTAATAATAAAAAATAGGATTTCAGTCGGTGGAAGAACCGACAATTTACTTTTATCGTTTGAACCTGAAACTGTTTTATGCTAGTCTTTCCCCGTTCGTGTCGCTGGTGATAATGTCATATTTGTAAATACAATTTTCTTTACTTTGACTGACTACTGACTTTAATCTACCAAATATCATCCAAATGTGGTTAGAAGTTTTAGCATGATTTAGAAACAAAAATCCATCGAAACGTTTGCATTTATAATCGTTGTAAGAGTAATTATATGTACGTAGGTTTATCTGAGCAGCTACGTATTATCTGAAGTAAAAATCGTTCCGTGCAATAGTGGTGAAATATTTTCCTTTGTGGAGGAATCTTAAAATTGAGGGGCATCAAGTCAAGGTTTTTATATCATTGTTTAGGTCAACACGTAGTGTATGTCACGTATTGTGATAGCGGTTATAAACAATAATGAAGTATGTTGTATTGTTGTGTTAAATTAACAAGAAGCCATTATCTTTGTGCACCGCGCCTTGGCAGCGGTTGCACAATCTATCTATCCGTATAAGTATTATACTTATTTTTTATTTTGACACACATTTTTGTTAATAGTATAATACACAATAAATGAACGCCAACAAATGAGCGATACTTGAACACATGTGGTTACTCAAAATGACCAAGAAGGTTCCCATACTTTTTATTGCCATAAAAAAATACAGGTAATAAATCGTGTAAACGAAGGGTAAAGATAAAATTCCGTGTTGCTACGGAAATATTTTTCGGAATACGGAAATCGAGTTAGTTATTAAATACTTAGCTTAAAAAAGTGTCATGGATTACTATAATGTAAGGAGTCTAGTATTTAACTCCTTACAGCTATTTAGCCTTAAGCTCTTAAAGCTATTCAGCCTTAAGAGCTATTTTTATAATTTGATTCAGTGAAGATACTACAAAAATTTGCTCTTAACATTGTGTTTTTTTTTTATTTCAAGTTCTTCAGTTAAAAAGCTTTAAGATTTAAGTGGATTTTAATACACTCGTCCAGGTTTTATGGAATAAATAAAGAAATGCTGTTCGTTCTTGAGTTGGACCACGGGACCATATATTATAGTCTCCTGCTTCACCCAGGTGGAGAAGTTAGGTGAAACACGGGTCCGCCCCCACATATACGTATATACATCAACAGTTTCTATACAACATGAGGAACCGAACCTATGATACGTTTTCTTTGTGACATCATTGTAGCCTACACCTATGTATGTGTATATATATGTTACCGAATATGTAATTCTCTCTATGTTAGTATTTACATTAAGTCATATCTTTTAACAAAAATACAACGAAAGAAGTACAATATGAAAAAAATGTATACTCGTGAATACTCGTTTTAAAAATTGCTTGGGTAACGTAAAGGTACTTAAGAGGTATTTATAACTTCCTACTTCAAAGCTTAGATGAGTTTTGTAATATTAAACATATATTACGTATACATAATACTTAACAAGTAAATAAAATGAACCCCATGAACTTTGGAATGAATTTTAAATGTGTCTAACGTTTAAAAGATCACTATTTGCAGCTGAAAACACCTTTAGTTTAAACATACATGCGTTAATTAGTAGCAACGAAAAGAAAAACACTTATTTAATTCATTCACCACGTTAAATTCACTTATCCGTTTTAGATTTAATATGGTAATTTAATTTTACATTTATCAGTAATAAATATTTTTATTGATTAAAATAAATGGACCTACGATACAGAGAAATTCAATCGATAAGGGGAAATCCCATTTTTAGCATTGTTTTAAAAACACATGTATGTTTAAACATCAAAATGAAAAGACAAATGGTGTATGACAACAACGTATAGAAAAAAAAAACAAAAGTACCACGATCAGTTCTCGACACAGACCGGAAACCTGTCCACCTGTCTGAAGTAAAAATTAGTAATTAATAAGTAGAACACTGTTGGTTAGCAAAGTTATTACTCGTATATGTTGACAGAGAGCAAATATCTTGAAAATAACGGTGAAGTTCTATCACAGAGGACATTTTTACTTGATATCAATTTTCAAAGAACGATACCTACATGCAAATTTTGAGCCTAAGTGACCATTCATTTTGTCTACCATTATCTTTGATCCGTTTTTTTAATGATTAAAGGCTTCCCAAACGTAAACTTAATCGTATTTAAAAAAAAACACTAATCTGTTTAATTCATTGATTCAATCATGCTGCCTTTGGTATCATAGAAGTAGGCCACAAGGTTGGCAATAGTACAACGCAAGTGTAGAAGTACTGTTATGGAGACAAGCGCTAATCAGTGAAATCTAGGTCAAAAATTGTGTTTGCGTGCACATGTGATAGTGTTGTACATTACAAATTTGTGCCAAAAATCAACAGAGTGCCCTTAAGAGAACTTCATAGTTTCAACAACAATTTGAATAGTTTAGGCTGTAGTGAGATACATTCAAGTATTAATTTAACTGTTTTACTAAAAATATACAAGATTTCTTATTAATTGTTTGAATAAAAATAAGATACACATACTAAATTTCTACATTGGACATCATACACCTACGTTGTAATAGTATTTATGTATTAATATTTACATAGCCTTAATTTTATAATCGTACGGCAAGCTTTCAACAGCGGTTAGTCATGCTTCTACGTGAAACACGATAGAGGAGCGAACATTAAAAATGAAACTTACCAGTTGTGTCAACAGGTCTTCGCTGAGGTATAATAGAGTGAACATATCTGGCTACAAAGTGACCGAACACAGCTTTCAGATCTGGGTGATGCATCATTTCAACAAACTCTCTGAAGTCCAGATATCCCGAATTATCGCTGTCAGCCAATATCATGATCTTATCCACTAGGTTGTCAGGGAGATCCTGGTCGTACTCCCTCGATTCGATGATGTCTCTGAGCTCCACATAAGAGATGCGGCCATCGTTGTCTTTGTCGTACTGAAAAGACGCGAAAACTCAAGATTAAATGACGTATGTAGAGTCAAAAGTTTTGGAATACTAGTTCCCAAAATTTGGTATAACATAACAGGAGTTGCAGGAAGTGCCTTTTTAAAGAGAAAGGGTAATTCTATTTACCTACATCTACATCACTACACGGTAAAATACGGATTTCTAGAATTTAAAAAAACTGCTTATTTACCAAAGGCACATTAGACCTTCTAAGCCATGTCGTTATCAATAGATACCTACAGCGCATGATTAAAGTAAGGGTCAGATTTTTATCAAAGGTTGTTTTAAATGTTAGTTTTGATTTCTATCTTGTTAAGTATATTGAAAATAAATATATAGTGTAGTGAAAAACAATACTAGACTACAGCTTCTGAAAAATCTAATAACTTTATGCTAGTAACAACAACTTTTGGATGAATCTACAAGCTGTTCACGAAATGTGTTTTCAATTTTTGTTTTAGATTTACTTTTGTTATTCTTTCTCTAAAGGAAGGATTTAAATTATTTATTACTTATTATTATAAAAATTCACTGCACGGCCTGTCTCCACTCTTTTATTGGTTTTTGACGAGTTTGAATGTTATGGGATATTTAATTCTGTATAGAGCCATTAAAAAGTGTTCTTTAAGTAGACCAAAAGTGACCTTTAAATGGATAGGAAGTGTCTTGCAGAATTTATATAATTCCATTTCTCTCTCTCTCTCTAAATAGTTCTTTTTTATTCAGTGATACAATATTTTGTTTAATTGGTATGTAGTTCATAGAAACGATTGAGGTATGATTCTGCCCTAGCTTGTTATACGATATCCTATCGTTATAGAGATCCGCTTGCATTTTGACTAAATTAAGTAAATGACAACAATCTGACATTGTGTTTACTTAATCGTATTTACTTTCAAATCAATTTAGAAAACACCATGTATGTATGTATGTTCAGATGTTAGACATATTTTTATATCCACAATAACCAAATCGATAATCTAATACTTGCTTATGTTATTACAAGTATCTATTTGTAGAACTAAATGACTGTATACTGCTGGTGTTGTAAGCAAACGAGACGAATGTTGATAATAGTTATTGAGGCCAAGTAGAAAATATGGAAGTAGAAAGTATGTCGTTGGTTTTCACTAAGTGAGTGAAGTTAATGGAGTCCAAAACCCTCCACCTCTTGACAATCAGGGGGGAGGGATCAAAGAGCGGCAACAATAAATAAATTATTATTATTATTTATGCGGAATTTTAATTCTGCCAAACTTAATTATGCTAAATAAATATGCCATTGTAAATTCGGACATTTAAAAAATCGGCCAAACAATAATTATACTAAAAAAAAAAATATGTCTTAGAAATATTCGTTTAAAGCATCAAGATTCTGCCAGGTAAAGGGAACCCATGCTAGTATCTGTGTATTAAAGCTCGTGGCTAAGTGGTGACTGAGTAGGTTAACACATTGCAAAGTTATAATTCAGCATAAGTTATGGGTGACCATTCTTAACACATTGTTCCGTAGCTCGTAGAGCACGTTAAGCCTTCGTCGGTCCCGGTTGCCATACGAACGTCTGTGGCAATCGTTACGGGTAGTTGGAGCCCTAATAAAAGTCCGATTAGTCTTTCTACAGAACTTCGATATCGCCTAGCACTTCGTCAGTAGTGTCTCCGCGTAAAAATAGAAGTTCAGCCGTATAGTAGTAGACGTAAAGCCGACCCCAACTTAGTTTGGGGAAAAAAGTATGTGTGTCAACTTTATTTTATTTTATATTGTGCATTCGTCGAATACAATTGGACCGTGTTGTGCAAAAACGCTGAACTCCACAAACTAATCACACTAATAATGTCAATTAACAGTCTAAAATTACCTGTGCCATCTACTCATATTGTTAACATATATCATTTATATTCCTATAATTTCTAACAATTATAGAAAAGGATTTTCTTCACGAGACCGTCCAATGAAATCCCACTATACTGGAATTCTTTATGACATCCTACGTACATCCTATACGCACATGAAGCTAAGCTAGCCGATTGATCTAGCCGACGGACATAACCACCGTAGTATATTGCACGCCCCTCAAATTGAGATTTTTTTTACATCAACAAAGAGAGCAAACAGTAATTTTCCTGCTTCAAATTACTATACAATAACCCCTGGGTTATTGTATAGTAATTAAAGCCCTGGCCCTTTAAGATTAAAAAAATATATATATTATCATAATAAATGAATAAACGCTGTTTATTAACGAAAAATCAAGGTTTTCGATTGTAAATTTGTCTTAACTTTTTTCGCAAAAATAGGATTGCTTTCTAATTTTGTATAGTTAATCCCTAAAAATCATTCAATAATACCAAATTACTTTTACGTTAGCATAATTTTTGGTTATTTGGTGATAATTTTTATTATTACATAAATAATCAGATATGAATTACGATAATACGACCGATTCGACGAAAAACCTGCTGTAACTCTCTTTACAAAAATAGGATTGCTTTCTAATTTTGTATAGTTTATCCCTAAGTATCGTACAATAATACCAAACTACTTTAACTTCGATTACAATCCCTACAGATAGGAGAGTGCTTATCAGTATTTAAATTTTTTCAGAGCAATGCCAGTATTTATAATTGATCTGGGGTATGTACGGAATTGAATTGACTACAAGTAGATTCATTAATAAAGTTTAGTTTTCATCCACCAGGCCAAAAATATTTCTAGACTACTAGTTTCAATACCGTACCGTATATTCGTGCTAACCCTTCAAGATTTTTTTTGTGTCAGAATACAATTAGCGTTTATGGAGTAATCGATCATAAAACTGACAAAGCCTTTACGTGACTGCTACTTTGATACTTTAATAGAAAATGCTTAAAGAAATTAGTTTCTACTATTACTACGTACACAACATACATAAAGTAATATTTAACAAACACCACCGCATAAATAAACTTAGAACAAAGTATATATCTCCATATTAAAACATATAACTTCCCCGTTTTTGCAAAATTTGTCAATGATGCTCGGCTCCTATTGGTCGTAGTGCCAGTTATTATAGTCTATATATACTCGTAGCCTTCCTCGATAAACGGTTATCCAACACTAAAATAATTTTTCAATTCGAACCAAACACAAACAAACTCTTCAACTTTATAATATTAGTGTAGATAGTACAGATTCTATATAACATAGACTTATATACTTACCCTACGTATTAGGAATAATACTTAGTCGATTTTTATTAATATATCATTAGATTGCATCAGTGACATCAGGAAATGTGTCGATGCCAATTAGACTATATGGTTACGATTATTGATTACAAAAAACTCAATAGCAAAATTTTATACTAAATTTGTTCACATTATTTTAATGTTAAATACATCAATCAATTATATAACAATAGTTATCATGTTCTAACCAAAATTGTAGAAAGCATGAAAATTAAATATAAACACTTAGATTGGTTACGTATAATAAATAAATACTCGATTATACTCGAATAAGAAAAATTATATTGTTATTTTTCACGCAAATTGTAAAACATTATAATATAATAATGGTTTTTCACTTTGTTAATAAATGTAATGTTGCCAATAAATAAACAGTAAACAAATGATAGCTTCATGTTTTTATTATGGTATTTTTTAAATAACTTATACAGAGCTCTGTCAAATGGAGTCAAATTAAGTCGTTAACATTGCAGAAATGAATATCTGTTTTATACAATTCTGTTTCAAAAAACAGAAAAAGTATTTTGAAGACCATGACTTTTGACCTCCCATCAAAGCTCCAAGGCTTCTTAAATTGTGTGTTCTTCATTTAGTTTTCAGCACGCGTCGATCAGATTAATGTCGGTATTGAATAAGTTCATGACCTCCTTCCTCGGATGTTAAGAATTGAAATTTGGCTGAGTTAAGGTTCACAAATTAATTTTAAAGTTTTGGTATGAGTACGGAATAAGCAATAACCCGGTTTTAATTCTCTTGATTTTTTTCTTTAAATCAATAAATGTACAAATCTAAGTAAAGGTTCCTTTTTTTTCCTGTGCGGAAATCCCCTCGGATATTACTCACCGGTGGGGTGATTATGTCGGACTCGAACCGACCAAAAACCGCACGCCGTCTCGGGTCCCAGTAGCCGGGGAACCAGGTGTACCCTTTGTGTTCCTGAAAGGGCGCGCTCGGCGGCTCGTCTCGCCGCCACTCCGGCCTGCTTCTGCTAGGGTGACAGATGGCCTCACCTGTCACCCAGGCCTGCGCTTATGGAGGACAGAGGTCGTTCTGCGACACCCGGTGCCCGAGTCGTCTGCGGTATCTGACCCGTTCCCGAGCCTGGCGGGCCGGGAGAGTTCTAAACCTCTTATATGCCACCAAGCATAACTTGCTCGCAGAAAGAGACGGCGGAGTTCCACGCACTATCGCTCCGTACCAGTCGAGAGGAGCCGATGACCACCACGAGGTCACGCCTCTGTCTCTCGCCTAAATAAACGTCGATTGTGTGAGATGTACGAGTATATCATCATGAAATCACTACATGAAACATTTTACGACCCTCGAAGATTGTTACCTTGGAATGATTGCGGAAATTAATAAATGCATGTGTCATCCAGTTAGCTGCAAATCTCTTGATAGATCTGTTCATGGGAACACTAAAGAACGTAGCCGTGACTCACTTAACGGGAATATCATTTCATGTCAGGCTACAAGGCCTATTTATTACCTATATATATATGGCGACAATACACAAATAGAGATGACTAACGTGTCTAGACATTTTCACCGTAACAATGATTTGACAATCACGTTGTTTTAATTATTTATAAGAAGAATTAACGTTTAGGTATGGCTATTAAATGCACGTTTTATACAATATTAGAGACTCCCAAGTATAGGGTTTAGGAGGCAATTAGTATCGTAGTTAAAGAAATTGTTATTACATAGTTACCTAGGTGATAATAATCAGTCTAATTATTAAAGGGAGTATACAGTTT